GGGTGGGCGCTGCGGGCGCGCCGAGCCGCCTCCCTTTCCCGGAGCAGCAGGACCAGGAGCTAGTGAGCGAAGCCAACGAGCAGGCTGCTTACCGTTACCGGTGGGTTTTGTGTCCCCTGCAGGGAGCTCACCGGCAGCCCGAGGCAGCCTGGAGTGCGACGAAGTTTCACGTGGTTAAGGGATCGTTTTTTCCGCCTGTGAGGAATTGATCGTTTATCGGCTGCGTACAGCCATTTATCTGGTGAACGGGAGATGATCTATAGCCGGGAAGCCACCGCCTGCTTCCTGATACTCGATTCTTTACCTAGAAATTGTTCTCGTAACAGTTATTACAACTTCGGTACTTAAGTGCATAGACTTACTTGAAACCGTGGTTAAGGGATCGTTTTTTCCGCCTGTGAGGAATTGATCGTTTATCGGCTGCGTACAGCCATTTATCTGGTGAACGGGAGATGATCTATAGCCGGGAAGCCACCGCCTGCTTCCTGATACTCGATTCTTTACCTAGAAATTGTTCTCGTAACAGTTATTACAACTTCGGTACTTAAGTGCATAGACTTACTTGAAACAAATTATCCTGTAGCAGGACAAACTCAGCTATTCATTGGTTTCAGATTTTCTCCTGAATTTTTCTGTTTTAGGGCCTCAATAAAGCAGATATGTTTCCTTTCATACGACGATGCTGCTTCCACACACGTTTCAAAGTAAGTTTCTGGAGCCTTTTTTGCTGTCTGTTTTTCTTTAAAATAGCAAAAGGTATGACTGTAGCATTAAAAAAAGGTAACTTACAAATTGGAGTAGTCATGTGTTTATTATTCAGCTTTTCTGAGAGAATGCCTAGTTTCTACAGCAGCTTTTAGCCAAGGCTAAGAATTTTTTTTTTTTTTTTTATGAAATAAATTCTGTTGTCTGAAGGTCTTTCTTTTTGCTCTTTTGTAGTGAGGGGATAGTAGTGAATTTCTGAGATGACTTTGTCTCCTTTGACTCCTACTTCTGTAATCCTTTTATATTCTACTCTGAAAAGGACTAAAATATCTTAACATTAAAATGCCTGAAGAATGGATGGAAGGATAGGTGGATGTACAAACCCTCTGTACTGAGTAAAGTTTGCTTACGCATTGTTGGTCTTTACCAGCTAGCTTGTAAAAACTGTATCAGTTAGCTTAGTTAAAGTTAAAAACAACTGAAAACCAAGAGGGAGGGCAACACTGATGTGACCTGACTTGGAAAACTACTTGGTACACTATTTCATAAGTAATTTAGGTAACTGTAGATCTGTAAGTCTGCACTGTAAGGTGTTCAGAATAATTTTTATACTTGCAGCTCCAGAATGTAACTGGTCCCAGGCTACTACCATACAGAAAGAATAAGACAACTTGGTCTTCTCTCAGCCTCTTGCTACAGAGGGATGCGTGTCCTCTCTCAAGAACTGCAAGCCTCAACCCAGCATCAGTATATGCAGTCAAGCTCCAGGCTTTTCACACCTCTCTCCCCTTCTTCAAGAAGAAAACCCCCAAGGAATCAGAGACCAAAGACTCTGGTGTCTTGCAACGAAGTATGAAATCACTAAAGGATTCTCCCAAGCCAGCCCTTTACTTAAGCCTCGCAGGGCTAATTCCATTTGTTTCTGTGCCACTGGCAATGGCCATCCAAGGGACCTACTACCCACAGCTGGTGTTTGCTCAGATGATGTACGGTGCTGTAACAGTCTCTTTCCTAGGAGGAATGAGGTGGGGGTTTGCTCTCCCAGAAAACAGCCCAGCCAAGCCTGACTGGATGAACCTGGCTAACAGTACAATTCCCCCCTTACTTGCCTGTCAAGGCTTACTTTTTAACGATATCTCTAGTGGTACAGTAATGCTAGTAATAGCCCTAGGGATAGCACTACATTATGACATTTCCCTTCTTCCTACTTATCCTGGGTGGTTTAAAGTACTGAGGGTAGTGGGAACTGTGGTGATGGTATTATCCCTATTGGCTACTCTAGCATTGAAGACTTTTTCAGAGGCAGCTAACAGTAGAAATAAAGAGCAGATCACAAAATAATAAATGAATACGAAAACCCTATTTGTCTGCCAAGAAAGTATTTGTATTGAGTTTCTGAGGAAGTAAAGATTTATTTATGCTTAGAAGACATAAGATGGCAGTGATCAAGATGGTTCTTCTCAAAGCAAACAACTTAGTTTAGGAGGGGAGGATTGTCAATAACAACAACTTGCAAGGCAGGTATGAGTCTCCTTAATCATAGAACAAAGCATCACTCTTTAATTAATTAAGAATGTAAAACGGAGATCTGAATTAATTTGTTATATGATCTTTGACAACGTGCTGCAAGAAAGAGAAGGTTAGCTTCCTGCTCAGGCTTACTTAAATAAAAAGGGATACCTGGGCCATCTGTTCCTAGGTTTTGTTTGGATTTGGGGCTGCCTAGCCAAGAAAGCTGCCTGCAGCAGAGCCATAGAGATCTATCATGCTCCTAAATTAAAGCACCATCAGCTGATGATAGGACACATATGATATGACACAAGGACTCAACTGCTGGCACTAAGGGCTCAGTTAATGAGATTGAAAGTAGTTTGTGTCTTCTCTCTCAAAATTTGGACAAACAGACTTGTGGCCTGCAAACCTTCCTCAATGGGCCAATTATTGAAAACACTGCATACTCCTTGTACTTCAGTCTTCCTAATGCATCCTTTAGGAAAAGAAGATGCAACCTGAGTCACATGGATTTCTAGCCTCAACTACCTCAAGAAACCTATGAAATTGTACGTAGGCATATTTACTGCAGGCTTTTTATCTTGCATATTAAGTACAGTATAAGATGCAAGAAGCAAGCTGAAAAGTGATATTGTTAGAGCCTGTAAGACTAATTTAGATAATCCTATAGCTCTCTTAAAGCACTATTCTTCATTGTTCTATACAGAATAAAGCACATACTGTCACTTAAAATTAATCTGTTCCTTCTGTAAAGAGCAGATGTTTAAGAAACCTGTCTGTCCTGAAGACAGAGCTATCTTCTTATATGGTGTTGCTGAAACTGTGTACATAAGCCTTTAACTTCTGTAAGCTGTTAATCTTTACATGTTAACAGCATCATACCTCTGAACCTGCACTGTATTTCAATGCTTTCTGAATATAAAGGAAGTAAAATGGAGTTGTGAATGAAAACAGTTCCTTTATTCTTTTTTCTGCATGTTGTTTTTAAAATGGGCCTTTGGCTTGATTCAGGG